TCCAAAAGGTAGTCCAGTTGTGCTTGTCATCTTGATTTTGGGTCAACCAGATGAGCTCTTCAGCTTTGAAAACACCCAGGCCTTTAGTTCTGGCTGCATGCTACAGTTGGAGAGGAACTTTTCAATGATTCAGATGTAGATGCAAGGGCCTACCCTAGACCCACTAAGTTGACACCTCTGGGGCTTTGGCCTAGCATTACATTAGTTTTTGAGGCCACCCCACATTATTCTAGGGTGCAGCTGTGCTGAAAACCACTTTCTTTGGCTGAGGAGAGGCTCAAGTATGCAGAGGTTCATGGAGGGTCAAAGAGGTTCTCCTGTTGGTGTGGCCCCTCTTTTCTGCCTGGTCAAATCAGCCACGTCCAAGTTACTTCTAATTTGCCAGCCATTGCTGCTGTGCCATGTCTGGCTAGTTAAAGATGTCTGACAGTGTTGCAGTTGTTTTGTGACCTTACCACCAGATCAACTTTGTATCTAATTCATGTCCACCAGACATTTCTGCAGAGCTTTAGGATGGAGAGGTCCTTGAGAAAAGAATTAATGTAATTAATTCTTCATCACCTTAGCTGATCATCGTTTCTGCTTTTAAACAATAATTTTACTCAAATTTGGAAATTTTGTGTATCTGTTCTTCAGTTATGCAGATCACATAAAAGGATCAATGCTTTCTCATTTGTCTTCTATGTGGAACTTGTATGGTTAAATGATTATAATGTAGTGGAGTGAAAATCTAGCCTGGGAGCTAAAGGGTGTCAGAACTGATGGCCCTGGGGATCCTTTGAAACCTCTCTGAGCTTGTTTCTTTGTTAAAAGTGACCAATTCCTGCCCTGCAGTGTCACTTTTAAGAATTGAGCTAAAGAATGTGTGATAATGTTTTACAACTATGTATTTATTGCACCTCTTCCATGTGCTGGGTAGTATACTAGTCCCTGGGGAAACAAACGTGAATGAATTACGATCCCTGCCCTTACAGCTTTAGTGAAGGAGACTGACTCAGAACCGGGTAATTATATGGGAGTGTGGAGGGGCAGAAATGCACAGGATACGCTTGGAGTATCAAGGGAGGATTAAAAGGACTGGGTTATTCCAGGAAGGTTTCCCATAGGCACTGACAACAGGCAAAGACAGGAAATTAACAAAGTAAATTGGAGAAAGCCGGGTACTTCAGGCAGCGGAAACACAGGAGGCAAAAGCCTGTGGATGAGAACCTGGTAGAGGGACAATGTGATACTAATGCTGATGGTGTTTTATTCCATTCTTGCTTTCCCCTGGGAGAAATGACTTTTTTGGGTACAGTGCATCAGAGAAGATTCAGAAGGTAAAGATGGCAAGATATGTAGGTTAGAAAGTCATCATCTGTTTTCTTCTTAGTTTGCCCGATTTTGTGTGGGTATTTGAAATATGCCCACACAAAATGAAGTATAATACAGTTGAGTGATTTATGTCCATCATAAAAAAAAACTGTGACTAAAAACAAAACTTTGTCCAGGCCAGATGTAGTATATGTTTACCACTTGAGGTGGACATCGAAGCATAGTGGTACTTACTGGAAGTGTCTCTCAGAGAAAGGAGGCTGATTTTATAAAGTCTTTGTAGCTCAGAAAACTAAGAGTTGGTCCACAGCCCACACAGAGCACTGAAGATAAGCCTCTCTTGAGTCTCACGCTAATATTTCTTTCTGTCCCAATTTTTAGGCAGCAAAACCACAGCAGCATCTTGTCAAGACTATTGTTAATGCAGCTGTCTCTGTTGGTTTATGTCTTATCCTCACCCTGTTTCCTTTACAACCGTACCAGCGTAGGAATCAGGAACCACAAAGCCAGGTATCCAGTGGTGATTTCAGTTATTTGCCATGGCGAGTGGAGGCCAGAGGAGTGGAATGTAAGGGGTGCATAATTCTTGTGCTGTAGGCTTTCCTGCCATAAGTTATCTAGTGTACTCCACAGCATCCTGATACCAGCCAGGCTTCCTCTGCCCTGGGAAACAGACTGTGTCCCATGCATCTCTAGTCTAGCAAATCCTATCAGAAGACAAAATGGCTTCATAAAAAACAGACTGACAACCTCTTCTCTCTTGCCTCTTCTGCTGACTCTGTCAACAGGCAGCATTGGGGCAAGAGAGCCTGCAGGGCCTTTCACGGCTGGAGTCCTTCCCTGTTTGTCTGAGCTCTGATTCCCCATGCTCTGTAAGTGTAAAGGAGATACGCTGGGTGGAAAGAGCTCTAAAGAGGCAGCCAGGAAGCCAGATTTCAGGGCCATCTCTCCCTCTAACTGTTAGCCTGGCCTTGGGTATATCATTATTGGGCAATAGTTTCTCCTATAAAAGGAAAAAATTGGGTTTAGATTGTTTCTGAAGTTCTGTCTGGATTGAACCTGGCAGGAATTGTAATTGCTCACCTTACTCTAACCGCGTCATTGCCTGATCCCCAGCTGTCCTCACTTCTGCCCTTGCCACACCCTTTCACTCTCACTGTCTCCTTCGTACTTCTCTTTGCATCTGACCTGCTCCTGCCAAGTCTGTTCTTTCATGCCTGCCTCTCTGTATCTAGAGGGAATCCTTTGGTGCCCAAGCAGGGCTAGATTACCAGATAGGCAAATTAAACATGTGTTTGGGGACACCTGAAAAGCAGATACCCCACTCAAATATGGTTTGTTTTTTAAGAATTTGATATTTGCTGCTTTTTCATGAGAAAAAGCAGAGCTTTGCTGGATTTTTCTTTTATCTATTTTATGGTTTATTATTTAAATTTGATTTCTGTTTGGAGGAACACTGTAATTTTTTTTCAGTACTTCCTGCCTCTGAAATCATCCTTTTTTCTCCTCCTCAACTTCTTGGACCCAGCCTTTTCACTGAAGCCTCACAGAGGTAGGGAGATGCTGCTTTGCTCTGCCGTTTTCTCTGTCCAGCCTTGTGTGTGCTGCTTTTAGTGTAGTAACACATTTCTCTGTAGCACAACTCAAGTGTTCCACTTGATTGTGTACTTTCTTTCTTTTTTTTTGGAGACAGAGTTTTTACTCTGTTGCCAGGTGCCGGGCTGGAGTGCAGTAGTGCGATCTTGGCTCAGCACAACCTCCGCCTCCCGGGTTCAAGCAATTCTCCTGCCTCAGCCTCCCGAGTAGCTGGGACTACAGGCACGCACCACCACGCCCAGCTAATTTTTTGTATTTTTAGTAGAGACGGGGTTTCACCATGTTGGCCAGGATGGTCTCGATCTCTTACCTCGTGATCCTTCCGCCTCGGCCTCCCAAAGTGCTGGGATTACAGGCTTGAGCCACCACACCCAGCCCTTGATTGTGTACTTTCTAGGTGAGCATCTCCATGCTGGGGGCTAGACCCTGGGGCAGAGGTAGGACAAGAAGAGAGGCACGGCCAGGCGCGGTGGCTCATGCCTGTAATCCCAGAACTTTGGGAGGCCAAGGCGGGTGGATCACGAGGTCAAGAGATCGAGACTATCCTGGCCAACATGGCGAAACCCTGTCTCTACTAAAAATACAAAAATTAGCTGGACATGGTGGCGCGCGCCTGTAGTCCCAGCTACTTGGGAGGCAGAGGTTGCAGTGAGCCGAGATTGCGCCACTGCACTCTAGCCTGGCGCCTGGTAACAGAGCAAGACTGTCTCAAAAAAAAAAAAAAAAAAAAAAAAAGAGAGAGAGGCACAAGGCCTGAGACACACTCATCCTCCTTTAGAGTTTATAATTGAGACATATGTTTTCTCCACAACAATTAAGCACCAGAAATGGTCATACATATTTGAAGGAGTGCAGAGCAGTCTCTGGAAGATGCTCCTGTGAAGAGACCTCGAAGAGAAGATGGTGGAAAGTTTAACCATATTAACCTGATATGAATATCTGAATGGCCTGCTCTATTTATTTCCAGGCCCTAAATCCCATGATTGTGGACTGTTGGCTGTTACTCATTTTCAGAGCTGCCCCAAACCAGTTTCTCCCAGACCCAAGCATTCTCTCTTTCTGTCTTCCTATCTCTCCTGACCTGCCTTTTGTCCTTTGAGCCTGCCCTCTTTGATAAGCTGCTGTAGCCACTGAGAATGACCAAGTTGAGTCCCTGAGCCCACAGAATAAAAGGATGTTTTCTAATGTGTTCAGTCTGGTTGCCTGGGGGGAACATTTGTCTTTTGCATAGTCCATAAGTAATCCCCAGTTTCTTATTTTCATCGTCTGGTTAATCCCATGTCATTGTCTTTGAAGTTAAATTAATTGATTGCTTAATGTGCACTGGGCTCTGTTAAGTGCAGTCATGTATGGGCTCACTAAATCCCCACCATAACCTCTGGGGTGAGTGCTGTTGTCTCCCTCTTACTGAGAAAGACAGAGGGGAACAGAGATGTTAGGTAACACACCTGACATCACACAGCTAATAAATGACAGAGCCAGGATTCTTGGCTCTGGCAGTATGACTCCTGTTTCTCTTCTCTTAATCATTGCACTGTATGTACTCTGAGTGCAAAGGCAGAGAGGGTAGAATGGTGTTGAGTGCTGGCGACAGCGTGGGGAAAGTAGTAGGACTCTCTTATTTGAATAGATGAACTGATTTTCAGTTTCTTTCTATCACAATGAAAGTTGTTTGAATTGTTAGTGAGGAAATTTCAGAAAATGCTTCACCTTGAATAGATTAGGTAATATCTTTTCTCTATAATGACATCTGTTTAATTCTCTTAATCACCTTTTTTTGTTTGTTTGCGTAGTATTTGATCAAAATTAAAGTTGTCTGTCCTGATGCCTTTTCAGTGAAGTGTACAGTATCAGATTGCCACATGTAATTTACACTCATGTGACACTGTTCTCACTGCTGTGAGAAATGGCAGGATTAGCAGAAGGGTGGTATTAGATATTTTATCTCCCTTTATCTGTGGGCAAGCATGGTTACACATACTGGAATATGTCTTTTCAGGATTCGGGTGGACTTGGTTGGTTTATTTTAAGGATGAGAGTTTCCTTCAGAAAGTTAAACATTATTATATCTGGTGCTTTACCACACTTACTTTTTGGGGTGTTTGCTGATGTTCATAACTGTAGTAGTAACTGTGATTCATAAAAAGGAGTCTCTTATTTTACGAACATTTCAATCTGGTGTCTTGAGTTGGGCCCAGAAACTTTATAGCTGGCTCTGAATTGATTTCTTCTAAAACATAAATGTATTTTAAAGATTCTTTTAATACCTCTTCCATCTGATATTCACATGTCATTTTATTTAATGATTCTAGAGGCTTAGAAGGCTACTAAAAGTCATTGTTTTTGCCTTTGAGAATAATTATCATCATGAAATCCCCAGGTTAGCCTGAGACCATCTAACCTTCCCCTACGCAGGATTTAAGCCAGTTTCTGTGACTCCAAGGACAAACCAGAGAAGGGAGGGCCTAAACAATTAAAGTGGGTGGGACAAGATGAAAACACTAAAAGTAGAGACAGTTTTCTGAACTATCTGGAAGGATCTTCCTCACCCACCCCCAATACTTCTGTCAAAGCTAAAACCATTTCCCCCTTAGTTTGGTTCCTTCGAAAGTCCCTAGGCTCAGTTGCAGTTTTCATTGCAGCTGTAAGTGACCATCTGACCACTGGTGAATTCAAGAAAGTTGGACTTTCTGGCTCTTTTTGGAGTTAATGGAGCATCCTGTAGTTTAACAGATGTGAAACTGTTTTTTTAGAAGTATCAGCTGCCTACTGGTCTGGTTCCTGGGCTGTGCCTTTTTGGTTCAGCCCAGGTGAAAGGAAGGAAGGAAATAAAATGAAATGAGTTCATTCACTTTTCTTCCTTAAAAGAACTGCAGGAATACAGGAGAAGGATCAGGGGCATCTGAACTCAGTGAATTAAGTTGTTCTTCTGTCTGCTCCAGGTTCTTTCATTTGGTTCTTGCTGACATGCTTTACCTGGAGCTCTGTTGGCCACTCCTGCACTGCCCAGGTATTAGAACCAGACACTGTAAAGCTGCAGGGAGGGGTGTGAACGCCTTAGCATCCAGAGTCCTGACTTAGTAGAAAGCATGTCAGTTTTATTATCAGAAGACCCAAGTTTGAGTCCCAGTGCCACTGCTATTAATTAGCTAGGTAATGTTGGGCAATCTTGGAGTTGACTTTTTGAACACTTTTTCCCCTAACTTGAAGTTGCTAATAACACTCACTTTACCAGATTGTTGTGTGGCTGTAAGGATGAGTTAAGATGATAACCATGTTAAAGTCACTTTGTAAGCCATCTGGGATCCTTTCCGTTACAGTTCTATACACAGCCAACTTTTTTACTTGCAGGCAAATGTACTCGATTTTGGAGGTTTTAAATAACCCTTTTATAAAGGATTGATAGTTTAAAATAGTTGGTCATAAAAATGAAAAAGAACTTGGGAAGAAGTGTCATGGTGTCCTTCAGATTTATTTCAGCACAGGTAAAAGCAGCCTCCTCAGAGCTGTTTTCACCTGTGTCATTTGGCTTAGACAGTAGTTGGAAGAAACTTTTCGTGGGTTAATAACCTATTTCCATGTGCTAAGACATAAATAATATTTTAATAGAGCCGTTTCTCTTTTGAATATATGTTAATTGTTTCCCTCTAAGAATTCACACAGAAATTGGATATCACATTTTGGGAGGATATCACCTCCCAAGAATTCTGGGGGATGGGATATGGTCAAATACTCATGAACTAATCAAACAGATTTGTTTACCTGTCACCACATTATGGCACATATATCTTTAATAAATATTCACTGAAAGCTGTGAGCTACACAAAGCAAGGAAACCTATCCGCTATTGAAGTTTGAGGGAGCCAAGTGAATAACTCTTCCATGCCCAGATTCCATACCAGTTAGAAAGATAAAGGAGTCAGGCTGGTAGATACCAAAATACCATCTTTATTACTGATGCATTTTGGAGAATATCGCTTTGGGTCTGCAGCCAAGTGGGCCTCCTGAAATTTTATCCCTGAATTAGATAAAACTACCCACCTTTTCTTGGCATGCCAGGATAACAGAAGCTGGTACCCTGCAGGGGAAAGCTGCCTACCCGCAGCAAGAGAGGAGTCCAGAATTCATGACCTCTGCAGACAGGCAAATCTCAAAGAGAACGAAGAGGAGGGATTAGTGAGAGAGCAGCAAGGAAGGCCTGGTGTATTATTGTAAGGGATTCTCTGAGTGGGCAGCAAGGAAGGCCTGGTGTATTATTTTAAGGAATTCTCTCTTGGTGATGTAACAAGAAGAGAATGAGTAAGTGTCCTCTTACCTCAACAGCTGCAGTAGGGTCTCCAAAGGTAGCTGAGACCTGGCCCCTGCTTACCAGGTACATTGAATGGGGAAGGAAGAGAAGGCATCTCTACAACTGTTTGAACAGTTGTCCTTCACAGCTTTAGCTGAGGCTCTAAATGCAAGTGGGAGCATATTTTTATGGGGCAGCCACATGGTTCCCTCTTGTTTTAACTGCCCCCCTACTGCTGTTTACTTTCCACATCTGAAGCTTCTTTCAAGTATCACTTTTAGGCTTAAAAAAAAAAGTCCCTATTTGACTGAAAAAATGAGAGGAACGATTCCTCTTCATAAAATGCTAAACAGAACTAGACATCTAGTACTGTACACACTGTAGCCTAAAGGTGAATTTTACCCTCAATATAAGCTTAGTATATTGTACGGCAACAGTCAGCTCAAGCAGAAGCTCAAGCATCACTGCTCCTGAAGAATGAAGAAAAGTAGAGCCGCTGTCATCACTGAAGGGAATTCATCATTATCCCTGTTAGTAATTTCATAGCTATGGAAATTGTTTTATCATATTTACAGAACCCCACAATCCCACCGCTGACCCTGCCTTTTCTACTTTCCCCATCTTCTTTCCCCTTTCTAAAAAACAAGCTTTTGGCTGGGTGCAGTGGCTCACATCTGTAATCTCAGCACTTTGGGAGGCCAAGGTGGGCGGATCACAAGGTCAGGAGTTCTAGACCAGCCTGGCCAAAATGGTGAAACCCCGTCTCTACTCAAAATAGAAAAATTAGCTAGGCATGGTGGCGGGTGCCTGTAGTCCCAGCTACTCGGGAGGCTGAGGCAGTAGAATCGCTTGAACCCGAAGGCAGAGATTGCAGTGAGCTGAGATCACGCCACTGCACTCCAGCCTGGGTGACATAGAAAGACTCCATCTCAAAACAAAAAAGCAAGCTTTTATAAAAAAGTAGACCATGATGGCCAGGTTGCTGCTTGCTCGCGATGCCTGTCCTTGGTGTTGGTTTTCTCAGCTGAACTTTTGGGAGCCACTTGTCACCCAGGACCTGGGACTGGCATTCTTTGGAAAAACCTGCCTGTGTGTGTTGTCAAATTGTGTTAGGCACTCCATGTTATTCTTAGATGGGCTCTGGAGTAAGACCAGCCTGTGTGCATGCGTTTGCAGTAGGCACCAGATAAGAGCTCAGTAATGACTCCAGAAGCGAGGGTCACAGCTCTGACCTGCTGAGTCATCTCAGCTCAGCCTTGCTGGCAAGGCCTCCCAGGCTGCATATAGTTTGCCTTTCCTGTTCACTGCATTCCAGCCTGTCAACAGCTATTTTATGAAGGTCTGTGGGGGCTCATGTAGAAAGGGAATAGGTCTGGGTGGAGGCCAGGAATCTGAATTTGTGTTATGTACCCTAGCTCATCTTAATTCAAATGTTTATAAGAAACACATAAGAACGGGTAACTCAAGCTTCTCCAAACAAACCAGTCAGCGTTTATTCATGCAAAAAGGCTATTGTCACGTATCACGTTTGGAACACAAAGGGTCTCAAAGGGCTTCCCATCCATCTTTTAGGTGCTGGGCTTTCTGTTTTCTACTGTGTCTTTTTTTTTTTTTTTTTTTTTTTTCTGAGAGTGAGTCTTGCCCTGTTGTCCAGGCTGAGTACAGTGGTGAGATCTCAGCTCACTGCAACCTCCACCTCCCAGGTTGAAGCGATTCTCCTGACTCAGGCACCTGAGTAGCTAGGATCACAGGCATGGGCCATCACACCTGGCTAATTTTTATATTTTTAGTAGAGACAGGTTTTGCCATATTGGCCAGGCTGGTCTTGAACTCCTGACCTCAGGTGATCTACCCACATAGGCCTCACAAAGTGCTGGGATTCAGGCGTGAGCCATTGTGCCCAGCCTTCAACTGTGTCTTAATTCTGAGTGCCAACACCCTTCACTCCCCTTTGTTCCTAACTGTCAGGAATGTGCAGCAGCTAATTAAGTAACCTGTAGTTTGTGCCAGGAACTGTTCTAAGTCCTTGTAAATATTAACTCGTTTAATCCTCACAAGAATCCTATGAGGTTGGCAGCCATTACTCACTACTACTGCTACTACTACTACTACTACTACTACTACTGTTGTTACCACCACCCACCATTTAATGAGTGAGGAAACAGAAGCACAGAGAGATCAACTATATTGCCCACGTTCATCCAGCTAGTTCCAACAAAGTCAGAAGTCAAATTCAGACAGTCTGACTCTAGGACCCAGTGTCATAATTACTGCACATGGGGCTAACCTTGTTATATAGACCCAGTTACCACAGACTTACAAGTATGATTTGTATTTAAATAATATTCTGATAATATTATGTTTCATAGTTTTTTAAGTATAATTTTCTAGCACTTTGGATAACTAAGTTGTTGTTGTTGTTTTGAGATGGAGTTTCACTCTTGTTGCCCAGACTAGAGTGCAATAGTGCAATCTCATCTCACTGCAACCTCTGTTTCCCGGGTTCAAGTGATTCTCCTGCCTCAGCCTTCATAGTAGCTGGGATTACAGGCATGCACCACCATACCTGGCTAATTTTGTATTTTTAGTAGAGACAGGGTTTCACCATGTTGGTCAGGCTGGTCTCAGATTCCTGACCTCAGATGATCCACCCTGCTTGGCCTCCCAAAGTGCTGGGTTTACAGGCGTGAGCCACAGCACCCAGCTACTCATTGTTTTAAATCATGTATTGGCTATGAGCAGATGAGGAAGCGGAATCATACTGTGTATTGAGATTGCTGACAACCTTTCTAAGCTGCATTTTCTCAGAGTTTAAGCCTCAAAAGGGACATGGATCAATTCGTAGTCTGATTTCCTTCTCTTCTCAGCTTACAAGCAAATTAGAGGAATTCTTTCATGAGTCCCCCCTACATTAGTCATTTCCTGCTTTGTGATCCCACAGCATTTTGTTCATACTCCATATTTTAAGTAAATACTGTTTTGTAATTAATGTGTTTATATGTCACTTCTTTCCACCACCATCATTAGCTGCCTTGCCCCAACTGATTTTTTCTGGAGATGGAACCAGGTCTAATTTATCTTTGTCTTTCACCAACCAGTGACAAATAGATGAATCACATTGCCTGGAGAGGTTGAGGGATTTGCCTAGAGTAGCAGCCCTGAATTGTGAGTGACTTTCATAACTCCCAGCCATGTATGTATCACTCACATGTTGCCACAAAGGTTTTTGAATAATGTGAATTCTTGCAAAGGGACATAATTTTCCCATTATGTGCCTCTACACCAGCTCATTTATAAAACATTCATAATAGTGATGATGATGATAATGATGTCATCACCACCCACCCAACTGTGCCATTTTGAGGACCAACCTAAATGGTAATATTTGTGAGAGCTTTGGAACCGGCAAAGCCATCTATGTAGGTATGTAGATTGCTGTTACTCTCGTCTGTTATTATTTCTGTGTAATTTACAAAGTATTTCATATTCATCATCTCACTTCTCATTACACCTTTGTGAAATAGATGGCCTCATTGTCATTTCACAGACACAAGAGCTGAGGCTGAGTAGGACTAAGTATTTCAACTATAATCACAAATAACTGCAAGAAGACTAGAACCCAGTCAGCCCTTTTGCTTTCTTCCAGTACAGCCACTAGAACAAGGCTGCAGAGTCCCTCAGGGGTGTTGTCATTATCTTCTTTTGAATCTGCTGCATCTTCTGTTGTGTGTTTAGGTCCTCGGGCCCTTAAAGCGCTCCTGGGTGAGTGATGGAAAGAGACATTTTCATGAGAAATGAGTGAGGTCTTTCTAAGACCAGTTATGTATGTGTGTTTAAATGCTAGTCAGATTTTTCATTTTATCAAAATGCAGGGCTTGGACACACAAAGCTTTGTAAGACAAAGCAAGTTTAAAGTAGCTAACCATTTTCCACGTTGGACCAGCAGCAGCAGCATGTGAATGTGTGGGTTCAGGCAGGAGGGGCTAACCTCTCCATAGCTTTTGTCTCAACGGGGAGTTCCTTACCGTGACTCTCAGAGGAAATGAAGGATGATAAATCCAGCTGCTGCTTCCTGTTTCTATAATTCGGGGATTTATTTTTTTAAAGGGTAGAATGCTTTATTTTTAAACCAGTGGAAAATACCCTCAACGTGTTCCTTGTTAGTATTTCCTTGAAATCTAGATGCACTCAATTGAGCTTTAAAGGGGTGTGTGTGTGTGTGTGTGTGTGTGTGTGTGTGTGTGTGTCTGAAATTCCCATGATGCTGCCTGGGATGGCTCACTCTCTTTCAGTTTTTCAGCAATAACAACAACAGAATGAAAACCAATTAAGGAAGATTTTACTGGGCAGGAAGTTGTCTGTGAGATTGATGACAGTATCTGATTTAGAGGAGGCCTCTAATTTATATCCGTGGTATTATTATCTCTCAGGCTATGCTTGTGCAATTCAGGTCTGGTTTTTCTTCTGCTTGTGATTGTGTCATTAGTAATAAAGACCTGAGTCATTTAGGAAACACACTGCCTCCTCACATATCATTGTTTATAGACAGTAACTGGTATAAATGATTAGAATGCAACTTTTGGGGTTTGATTGTATAGCCACTGACTCTGTAACTAAAACCAATAGGTAGAAGAATTACATTTTTCCTGTGCCTTTTTTTTTTTTTTTTTTTTTTTGAGACAGAGTTTTGCTCTTGTTACCCAGGCTGGAGTGCAATGGCGCGATCTCAGCTCACCGCAACCTCCGCCTCCTGGGTTCAGGCAATTCTCCTGCCTCAGCCTCCTGAGTAGCTGGGATTACAGGCACGCGTCACCAAGCCCAGCTAATTTTTTGTATTTTTAGTAGAGACGGGGTTTCACCATGTTGACCTTGCAATCCACCCACCTCGGCCTCCCAAAGTGCTGGGATTACAGGCTTGAGCCACTGCGCCCG